CTGACACCTCAGAATTTGGACCAGCTCATCTCCAAAGATTTCCCATAAACAGCATCCCAACACATCCATAAAATAGCCTTGGCCTTCCACCAGAAGCTTTAGATAAGTGTTAGTGGAGCTGAGGCTGGCACAGAGAAATGTACTTCTCACTCCGAGGCCCTCATTGCAGTGGTAGTGGGTAGAGCGTGGGCATTCTCCTGGACTTGCCAAAGAAGAATCCACTTATGCGCTGCCTCTGTACTGTATTATCTAATAGAACCCACACTGACTTCAGTGGGCCAACTTCCTGCTCCCTCCAGCCCTGGGCAGAAAACAAACAATGTGGCCCTTTTCCAGACACTATTGTTTGGCAGCTACACACCCCTCATAAAAGAAACCAGTCCCTCGGTGTGAGGACAACGTGGGGGTGCCTATTAATGCTCAGTTAATAGTTAAGAAGGGTTTGCCCAGACACAGAGCTAACCGACCAGGCATCTTCCTGAGAGCGAGAAGTAGAATTCTCAGAGCAGACCCGGCCATTGTCTGGGTGGGGCACACACGGAAGCCTAGCAAGCGAGAAGCAATCCCTACCTCCCCACGTGCCGTGTTTCCATGAAAAACATGATTTGATAATAACAAATAGGTGCCCAGGGAAATGGAGCAGGGAAGGGTTTAACATGGGCAATACAGAGGATTAGTGGTGGTTAGCGGGGACAAAGGAAGGGCCAGTTAATGTCTTGGGCAAACAAAGAGAGCTGACAGGTGCAGGGTGTGCTGTGTACACACTGTGGCAGCCGGAGTTATGTGGCTTCCACACGGCAGCAGGTTTACAAACGTGAGATTTCCTTCCACGGCTCATTAGCATGGGCCCTTCAGCCCTCCGACAACAGCATGCCCTTTAGTAACGTCCTAGGAGGAAATGGAAAAATCTACCCCCATTTCCATTGTGATTTCACTGACATGTCTTTACCCTGAGCGTGGCCCTGGAGAAGGTGCTGGGTCTCTCCGATACACTTCGTCCGTCCAGACCTGAGACGAAACTTAGTCCTTTTGGAAGTTGGAAAAGGAGTTAATTGTGTGGTCTCGGTCTCTCTCTCTCTCTCTCTCTCTCTCTCTCTCTCTCTCTCTCTGTGTGTATTGGGGTGGTGTCAGGGGTCAAGGGCTGAGCAAATGGAGGCCCATGAACAATTGCTCTCAACAAGAGATTCCCTGCCTGGTGTTCCCCTGTGTTTTCCCTTTCCTGTGACCGATTACCTGATACCATTACCTGATATGCCCTCTCTTAGGAAGCAGAAACCTGCTTTGGGTGGGAGGCCTTTCGAGAGCTCACACTCTAGCGGCTGCAGCCCCTCAGAACCTCAGGTGGGAGGGTCTCATGGCTCCACTCTGTTCTAGCTCCTGTTGGGACCTAGGCACGTCTTCCTGGAGACCCTGCCCTGCTCTTTCCCTCTCTGTCAGAGGCATGCGCCACCACACCTGGCTAACTTCTTTCCTTTTCTAAGGGCAGAACTGAGGATTGCGGTTTGGATGCTGAATGTCCTGCACAGGCTCATGGGTCTGAGTCCTCGGTTCTCAGCGGGTGGCAGTGATCTGGGAGTCGGTGGACTCTTTAGGAGAGGTCTCACTGGAAGAAGGGGGTCACTGGAGGATGGTCTTGGGGTGTGCTCTTCAACTCAGTCTCTGAGCTGACCTTTCTGTTTCTCAGTCTTCTGAGCTACAATAATAGGCCATGTCACAGGTTCTCGCTGTAGAGGCCTGAGCCCCAGCTGCCACACCTTCCCTGCCATGGTGGACTGGGTCTCCTTAGACCATGAGCCAAATCTCATTAAGTTGTTGCTGTGCGGTATCCTGTCCCTGCAGCACAACACTGGGCATTGAACCTG